CTTCCTCAGAACCTGAGGAAGGGTCACCGGACCCGAAACGTTAACTCTGTTTTCTCCTCCACAGATGCTGCCAGACCTGCTGAGCTTTTCCAGCAACTTTGTTTTTGTTCCTGATTTGCAGCATCCGCAGTTCTTTTGGAATTGAAGGAGAAGTTGTTAAGGGTGAGGACGAGTTCGGCTAAGCGGATGAGGGTATCAGTGAAGGGGGACTGGAAGAAGTGGAGGGCCTTTAGGCCATCTGCACGGGGAACGCAAGTGTACAGGGACTGGACGTCCATGGTAAAGATGAGGTGTTGGGGACCAGGGAATTGGAAGTTTTGGAGGAGGTGGAGGGCGTGGGCGGTGTCACGGACGTAGGTGGGGAGTTCCTGGACCAAGGCGGAGAAAATGGAGTCGAGATAAGTGGAGATGATTTGGTGGGGCAGGAGCAGGCGGAGACAATGGGTCGACCAGGGCAGTCAGGTTTGTGGATTTTGGGAAGGAGATATAAACGGGCGGTGCGGGGTTGGGGAACGATGAGGTTAGAGGCCGTGAGTGGGAGGTCACCTGAAGTGATGAGGTTGTGGATTGTCTGGGAGATAATGGTTTGGTGGTCGGGGGTGGGATCACGATCAAGAGGGCAGTAAGACGTGGTGTCAGAGAGTTGGCGCCTAGCCTCGGTGATGTAGAGGTCAGTGCGCCATACTACAACTGCGCCTCCCTTGTCCGCGGGTTTTATAGTGAGGTTAGGGCTGGAGCGGAGGGCTGCACGTTCTGTGGGGGTGAGGTTGGAGTGGGTGAGAGGGGTGGAGAGGTTGAGGCGATCAATGTCGCGACAGCAGTTGGAGATGAAGAGGTCGAGGGAGGGTAGGAGGCCTTGGGGTGGTGTCCAGGAGGAGGGGGTGTGTTGGAGGCGGGAGAAGGGGTCAGTAGAGGGAGGGTTAGGCTCACAATTAAAGAAGTAAGCACGGAGGCAGTGGAAAAACTGTTCAATGTCCAAACGTGAGTTGTATTCATCGATGTTTGGGTGGAGGGGGACAAAGTTGAGTCCTTTACTGAGGACTGACCGTTCGTCCTCAGTAAGGGGGAGGTCTGGGGGGATGGTGAAGACCTGGCAGTACTCCCAGCACTGGACCTCTCTGTATCCATCTCTGGCATCCACCTGGAAACCGATATCCATTTCAAGCCTACCCACTCCCACATCTACCTAGAATACACCTCCTCCCATCGACCTTACTGCAAAAAGGCCATCCCCCATTCCCAATTGCTTCGCCTC